TTTTTTTTTTCCCACGACCCCTGTTTTGGCCGATGCGCCGCATGCCGTGCGCGCGCCGGCTGCGCTCTGCGCTCTGTGCCGCACGTGCCACAACGCCGCGCACGGCATGCGCCGCAAGTATGAAATGTACCCTTCTAAGCCCTTTAGTCACTGTTTATAACTTTATACCCCCCACCCCCCCCCTGGATGACCCATCACCAAATCCGAAGCTAAGACCGGATTCTGACTGCTTAGGCCAAGCACAGTCCTGGCCTGAATTCTTCTTTTTTTGAGGGGGGGATCCTTGCCTCTTTTTTGACCCATCTGGTTTTGCTGAGCGACCCCCCCTCTGCCCAACTGGCCCAGGCGTGCTGGGCCGGACGACGGCCTAAAATAGGTAACTTTATCATCGTTGTGCTTGGGTTGCGTGAGCTGGTAGAAACCTTTGAGGAAAAAGCAAGCTGAAATCGACAAAATGACCGCGCTACGAGGGTTGCCCAGGCCGGCCGATCCACCCAGCAGGACAGGCGGGCCAGTGCAGCCCGGCGGCACAGTCACGGCAGTGCACCTGAATCCATGTGCCCAGGTCATCCGAGCAAGCCAGAACACGAGCCTTTTCAACCGTCTTGTGCTTTGTTTTCTTCAATCTCATGGTAGGGCACTTCTGTGTGGCCACAGTTTTGTTTTGTGTGTGCTGGGCCTGTCCCGTCTTGTGCTTTGTTTTCTTCAATCTCATGGTAGGGCACTTCTGTGTGGCCACAGTTTTGTTTCGTGTGTGCTGGGCCTGTCTGGGACCTTGCCTGAACTGGCCCAGTTGGGTCACCCAGAGTCTGAGGCAGCCGGGCACCTGGCAGCTAGCCCAGACTGCAGCACAGTGTACTAAAGCGCAATAGTGGATGTGTTCAAATCTGCTAAGAACCATCTGATTCAACGAGGTTAGATTCCCTATGGATCAATCTCAAATCCTGCTCAAGATGTCGGACCTTGTGACCGTTATCTTTTGGAAGGTAGTGAGATTCTAGGTGCAATGCATATGTTGGTGCCAACAAGAGAGGAAGGAATGAGTTCCTGGCATCACATCTGATGCACTGTGGAGCAGCCTTCATGATCAACTTCTAGAGTGCCAGCTAGTGCTCTCGAACTCTTAAGGGGACAATTTCCCCCTTCTCCCCTTCATTTGATCCGTGTCAGATGTGCATGACACATTGGGCCTCACTCCACCACTCTCCACATGCAGAAAAGGGGACAATTTCCCCCTTCTCCCCCTCATCTCATCCGTGTCAGATGTTGCATGACACATTGGGCCTCACTCCACCACTCTCCACATGCAGAAAAGACCAAAAATATGGCGGTGTATCTTTCCATGCTCTAGTGGAGGATTCGTTTTTATTTTGCGCATTTGGAGAGAGTGGAGCGAGACCCGTTCAGTCTTTTGCCAACAATCCAACTCACAAAAACAGTCAGTGAAATCAAGGACCGGCAAAACACCAAGACTCCTCTTCCTGCCTTTGTAAGACAAATGGGATTGTTGAGCAAAATGGACAATAAGCCAGACATTGAATAAATTATTTGATCGTCACATGAGCAAGCCAGGAGCTGAAATGCTGTTGGCTAAGAACGCTCAGCCAACCAAGACACATCATGGAGAAAACCTGCTGTACTGAAGTCGCTGCAATTGACTGCGAGTGCAGAAAGTGTGTTTCTCCTTCTGTCCTCGTGCAGTAAGGGATGATAGCCAGACGCCTCCCAAGCTCTTATATGGCGGCCCTTCCACAGTGCCTAGTTGGATATCCATACAGGCATCGTTAGAGTGGTATCAGGGGGCCACATCACATGCTGGGTCCTCATCTTGCATTGTCCGTCAGATGCCAGCTTGAATCAACTATAGACTAGAGCCATATTCATGTACATTATGTCAGCTTTGCGACCTTTCTTCCACTCTCGCTGCCCCTCTATCCTCTGGCATTGCCCTTCAGAAGCCAGTTTGAATCAGCTATAGAGCCAGAATCATATACATTGTGTCATCTCCTCTCCGCCACCTTTCGTCCACTCGCACTGCTGCTCTAGGTCTCACAACCTAAGCATTGGCTGTGCAAGGTAGGGTCAGACAGAATAGCACTGGATCCAAATAGGAAAGTGCTAGTTGACCTTTTGGCTAAGCTGAAGTCTACTGTGTCTTCTGATTGGTTTAATATAAGGGAAATGCTTGTGGGCAAGGGAAGCAGCTCGTAGAAAATGGATGCCAGGGCTGTCAGACTAGAAGCGAGGGGGGAGAGAGAGGGGATACTGCCAGAATGCTAGTGGGCACATCCTTATCCTCCCGTGAGCTAGTGTGCCCGGATCTCTCTTGGGCGACTGTTTGGACCAGAGTAAATGTATAGAGTAGAAACTTAGGAATATAAAAGTCAAGGTAGGATCTGGCAGTTGATCCGTCCAATGGGAAGCTATCAATGCTGTTAAGATCTTTTAGTTCGAGCAGCCACATTTATTTTGGAAAACAGGGGTGGAGCAGTGGTAAGGTCTCCCAATTGGGCAGCAATCAATGCTGATGGCTCATGATCTCTCAACCATGGTGGTGAGATGCACCATGCAGGCGGAGCTGCGCTAGGATGAGTGCACACAATGTACGGGATGCTGCACCCGCTTTCCAGCTTTTTAATACAGAAAGCGTTTCTTTTTAATTAAAAAAGAAAGAAATCTCCATGTCTCGTCTGAGGCTGCATAACACAGCTTAGCGTTGGCTATTGAGGGTAGCAACAGGTAGACTGACAATGCAGCCAAGCATGGAAGTGCTAATGAGCAAGGGAGGTAGCACATGGAAAATCTAAGCTATGACTGTGCAGATTAGGAACAAGCAGAGGGATGGGATTTTGCCAGAAGGGGGGCCACGTACATGCTTAGCTTACACCAGGCTACCATCTTCA